TAATTTATCGATTTAATGAGTTTTCTTTTATATTTTAATGCAGAGTTAGAATTATTTAAATATAAATAATTTGTAAGAAAATAAATAAAAGATTGATTCAAACATTGAGTGATTATTTTATGATATAAAATAAGAAATATTGGAAGATAATTAGAGCAACAGATTTTGTTGAATTTTCATTCTTCAACTATTAACCAAATTTGATAATAAACGTAATAGAATTGTTCAAAAGATTAATGATTTTCATTATTAAGATTTATTTACTAAACATACTTTTTTAAAAATGAATAATAGCCATTATGACCTGAGACAGAGTTCCTTGAAAACAATAATTATTCAATACCAATTAAGAAAGTTCTTCATCGAAAAAATCTAGGAAATTTAATAAGCATGAAGATTTTGATAAGGAAAAAGAACTTAAAATAATTAAGATAGAGTTTATCTCGTATAGTGATGAATTAAAAAGGCTAGATATTGTACTGAGGTACAGTTATTTAAAAATTTTAGGATATTAAGATAAAAATAAAAAATGTTAACTTTTATCATCAATTTTCTGTCATCTCTTTATAAATGTTATGATGATTATGAATAGAATTCTCCTCTGATTCATGTAAAGGTATATATTATATTTAGTTTGATTATTTTGTTGTAAATTTACTATTTAAAAATGAGAACACATGTAAAATATTGATGATCAAATTTGGAAAAAACATTTCAAACATTATATCCGAATATTCTGTAATTTTAGAATAAGCTTTAATTAAGTATTTAGAAGTTAATCCTATTTGTCAAATTAATTAATTTTCAAATAGTATCTTAAGAATGTTAAAATAGAGGGTTCAATTTTTTTAAAATATATCCATATAATCTTTCTGAAATTTAAAATCATAATCCACGTAGATTTTGAATGGAGATTATTTACAGCAACCTAACAAGATGAAAAAATAAATGAACTAATATCAACAAAAATATTTTTGTATGTATCTTTCAAATTAATGGATATTTTTATTAAAATTTTCATTTATTCGGATGCTCTAAATAACTAATAATATAAAATTGAATGCATCAAAAATGATTGCCGCTCTAAAAATAAAGTTCAAATAGATTTTGGCTAATTTTTTTTTTTATTGAATTCTAATCTTTGTTTGCTAAATATTGATATTAACATTTAAGGAATCTTGTATAAATATTAAAAAAATTAATTAATTACGAAGAATCTATATATTGTAATTAATTACAGAATTTAACTTTTTAAGCTATCATAAAAATTAGAAATATATGTAGCTGAGAAAATTCAAGAGCTTAATGAGATTATTTACAGATAAATTAAAATTTTAAATCGACCCTTATTAATTTTGCTACAATCAAACATTTAAACCTTTCATATGCTATTCTTTTTACTTAATTAAACCATCCTATGATCATAAGAAATTCTTCTTCTAAATGAACAGTCGAATGGTCCAGCATAACTTAGAAAAGAATTGGCAATTAAACAATATCTAATTTATTATATGTCATAAATGCCAATTTATCAATATTTTCTGTCCATCTTTTCTTCTCATTTTCTAAACTACAAACAAATAGTTTTTTGTGTGATGAAATTCTTTCTTATTAATTATAATTCATTTATCTTGAAAAAATTTAGATGCATACTAAACAATATAATTTGAGTATTTGTAATTAAACCTAAAAACTCATGACATCTATTTATAATTCTCAAGAGATTTCTAGCTGGAATTATTAATCAGAGGATTTCATTAGCAATACTGAAAACTCATTTTTCGGTAAATCAGCTTCCAATTTAATCCAAAACATAATCGACCATTCTTGAATCTAATTTTTAACTGCTCTATAAAAATAAACAGATAGTTTTCTTCATTTATCCCAACCAATTCAGGAAAAAAAGATATTGAAAAATTATTAAACTGCCTTAATTTATTCTTCCTTTCTTGCTATATTCTTAAAGAGATTGCAAACTCTTGTCCAAGGACGGGTAAATGGATATATATAACTTATTTAAAGGTTTTTGTGATTTCTAAATTATATTAATTAATTTAAACAACAGAGTAAATATTTCTCTTATTTTAAATTATAAATTTAAAAGAATATCTAGATTTCAATTTATAATTTTTATCATTATACAATACTCTTAGCACCTGGTTTACTTGCCTTAAAATCTATATAAACGTATTTTAATAATTTCTTTAAATTGTTCTTCAACAAATTCCTTTTTCTTTTCAACTAATTTTGAATCCTTCTTTTTCACCTGGTTTACTAATTCATTCTATCTATCCTTCAATGAAAAAGCTTCTAACTTTCTTATTCTACATTTTATTAATCTATTTTAATGTCCTCTCAGATCATTCATTACATATTGGTAGGATAATAATTGTTTTATGATTAATTTCTTCCTTTGAAGTTTGTTACATAACTTTAATAACAAATTTATTTAAATAAAAAATATGGACTAAGAAAATAAACAATAATAGCTTTCTTTTAGGAAAATTATAAAAAACCACAAAGTTATATAACAGAAACTGTATTTTATTCTTTATTGTTATTATGGGAATTATTTGTCACATTAGTTCTATCCGAAAGAATTAAATTATTTGAGGCTCATTAAGCATTTAAGGTAAGTATTATATAGCATTAGTATGAGCATTGCATATAATAAATTTTGATATTTTAGATTCATCATAAAAAGTTATTTGCATTAATAGTTGCCATTTTGCTCTTAAAATTATTGATATTAAATTTAATATAAACTGTGAATAATACTTATATAATAACTGAATATTATACTGGTGGTTATTTCAGAAAGTTCATTAAGGTTGGAAAGTATTATTTTAGAGTTATTCCTGAAGAGGAAGTCCTAAATATTTTAAGGGTTATTCTAAGGAATACAGACTTTAATTAAATACGGCATCATAAGTCATGATATTACACTAGCAAATATACTGATTCATGATTCTCAATTCAAAATTACATGTTTTGAAATTGCATAAGAAAAAGACTAAAATCTTGATATCATAATGAATTCTTTATTAAATACATCTTTTTATGATCCCTTAAATTCTTAAAAGAGTCAAACATTCATCAAAATGTGGTATTTGGTCATTAAGTTTAATACTGTGTGAAATGCTTTATGGGAGGACACCATGGTATTCTAAAAATTTAGTTGAATTGATGAATAAGATTCAAAGATATTTAAATTTATTATCCTTCATCCATCTGTTACTAGTTCTACTAAATAATTGATAAAAGTTTGTTTGTAAAAAAAGGGAAGAAAAAGATGGAATTTTGAGGACAAACTAAAGATGTTAATTGTAATTCTAATGAAAATAAGGAGAATTATGCTACAAAGGAAGATATTCATTCGCAAAATCATAGAGAAAATAAATCTTCTTAGAGCAATCAATCAAAATTCTCTCTCTAATTGAAGAGATTCAAATAAAGAGATAATTATCATGTTAATAAATTAATAAATATAATCAAAGTTACAATAATGCTGCCTTTTAAACTAATGATAGAATGAGTAGTTATGAAAATAAGAAACCTCTTAAGGATAAATCTAAATAAACATGCAGTTATTTTGATTTAAAAGAGTATCTTAAATATAATAAACATGATAATCTAATAGAAAATAATTAATAAATACATCTAAATTTAATTAAATCTATTAAATAATCATACTATTATAAGGGCCCATCCATTAATTAATATGATTTTATTTATGTATTGCAATGTTTTTATTACTTTAAGTTTAATCTTTATATTATTTAACAATATATAAATTATAATATATAATATTTAATTAACAATAATAAAACTATTATTTATAATAATAATTCAATTTATTCTAATCATGAGGCATTACATGTTCACTAACATCAAATTGAGATCCTTTTTCATTTCATTAACATAATCCCATATTATTATCAATTAATTTTTTCTCTGAATCCTAAGTGCATGTCAATATATTCTATCCTTTTTCCCTAGATAAAGTAATCCTAGGAATACTTTTGATTATTATTATTATTGATATAAATTATAAATTCAATTAAAAATCCTATGAAATAGTTTCTGAAAGTAGTTTGTGGATTTGAACATCCAAATTAATATAAATTTTAGGAAATTACCTCTCCTAAGTATTATATATATTAAAAAGATTGTAAATAGAAGAAGATTATAATTAGCGTTATTCAATAGGAAATTGGTATACTGTGTTCATGGGTGCTCATACGAGTATACAAAGAGTTTTCATATAAGATTTCTTATAATATACAAAAAACAAAAGGTTTGAAAATATCTATTATTTAAAATTATGTTATAAAGTATATTACCAGATAACAATATTTAATTTCAGTAATCAAATTTAGTATTAATAAAATAGATAATATCATAAATATATAGTTATTTTATATAATATGGCTTAAATTAATACATCTATATAGTGTTTCTCAAACGCATTTTGCTAATCTGTAATTTGGTTAATTTGCTGCTGGGATCATGGCTGTTCAAGCTAAATTGTTTCATGGTGAAATATCATTAATTTATCTACAGATGCCGCTGGAACTGGAAAAGCAAGAACATTAAGTGATTTAAACTACCTATGCACATGTTCCAGGAATTATTGCTTTTGTAGCTGATGCTTAAGCAGCTGAAAATAATTTGATAGAAAGAGGAACAATGGATATAATAGGAAACTAAATTGATGAAGT